TAACAAATAATCCTATATTTGAGTGTAGATAAAATTTTAGTTAACTTTTAATTTTTTAACAATTATTAAATAAAATATGCAATTAATGCTTAAAAGTTACACAACCTCATAAATAAATAAGTTAAAGCTAAACTGTCCATAAAGTCCTTACTGTTAGAATGTAATGAACAATTTGGTCCCCATATTAAAATTTATATCAATTTAGTCCTAAACATTATTTCAACCAGGAAAAAAAACCAGTCACCGTTGCCGGGTCGGGTCACAAGATCTTATCAGACGAAAATGCTTTCTAGGGTTTTGTTTCCCACGTATATATACCCTTCTCCTTGAAGGCGGCGCTAACGACTGAGGTTCTCCGTCAATTCCTTGTCCATTAGATCAATGGCGATAACTTTCTCCGATCTCCACACCGAGGCGGGCCTCAAGTCTCTGGATAAGTTCCTTGCCGGAAAAACTTACATCTCCGGGTACTTCTCCTTCTTTTCCCTGGATACTCCGATTTACAGTTGCAAATTGTCTATTTCGAAATTCAGTACTTAGAGAGTTGATTCTTCACAGGAATAAGTTGTCGAAAGATGACATAAAGGTCTATGCTGCTGTTCTGGGGAAGCCTGCTGAATCCTTTCCCAATGCTAGCAAGTGGTACGAGTGTGTATCTTCACATCTTGCCAACAGGTACTCATTTGTTAATCTTTCTGACTTTTACTTTCCCATATTGTGCGATAATCCCCACTTTTAGGTCGATGCAAGAATTGAACTTTGTCAAATCCATCACTTGTGGGTATTTTCAGGATAATTTTTGTGGCTCTGAATCTGTAGCATAATTTACCTTCCTACTTATGATTTTTATTTATGATGGCAGCTTCCCCGGAAAGGCTGTTGGTGTAAGAATCGGTGGAAAAGGTGCCCCAGCTGCAGCTGCTCCAGCCAAGGTGTGTCCTGGTCAAGTTTACGTTTTTAACTTTGTTCGTTTTTTAGTAAATGATTGTAATTCCTAATTGCACTTTCTAAATCTAGTGTGGATACCTGGTTTCTATGGGGAAGGGATCTAATTCAATATTTCTCTCCCAAAAGGGAGGGTTAGTGGCTTAGCAATATATTTTGTTTTAGACCTTAGAAAGTTTGTGTATGAGGCCAGATTACTTTCTGGGATGATAATCTGATTTACTAATTACTTTTGCTTTCAGTTCTACCAATAATTTTCTATTTAATCTTTACCTTGTCAGGCCGATGCTGGAGATGATGACTTGGATCTCTTTGGTGATGAGACAGAGGAGGAAAAGAAGGCAGCAGAGGAGAGGGAGGCATCTAAAAAGGCATCCACCAAGAAGAAAGAAAGTAAGGAGTAAGGCTAACATGTATTATATCAGCTTCTGAACTTAGGGCCAACTTATTTATGTTGCTATATTGTGAAAAGCTGAATGATTTTCCTTCTCATCTGATGTTGACATATTCTGTATTCTGTAGGTGGAAAGTCTTCTGTTCTTATGGATATCAAACCTTGGGATGATGAGACTGACATGAAGAAGCTGGAAGAGGCTGTACGAAGTGTTGAAATGCCTGGTCTACTGTGGGGAGCATGTATGGTTTGGTTTAAGCATTCTTATATTATCTGTTTTGACATGTTCCTTGTTCTGCTTTAATTTCCAAGTAGTTCTGATGCAAGTCTTATAAATGCAGCAAAACTGGTTCCAGTCGGTTATGGCATTAAGAAGCTGCAGATAATGCTTACCATTGTGGATGACCTTGTTTCTGTGGATTCCCTTATAGAAGAACACCTCACGGTCGAGCCCTGCAACGAGCATGTCCAGAGTTGTGACATTGTTGCCTTCAATAAAATTTAGAAAGCCACCCCTTATTGCACTGATCTTAGGGCTAGCCATTCTTGGCATCCAATATATCTTCTGTCCTCAATTCCCTTGTTCCTACATTGTTTTTGTTAAGTCGTGTGATCATAAGATCTTAAATCTGAGTAGTTTCTGATGCTTTGTCTAGCCATTTCATGCTGGAACATCTTATTTTCATTTGAGTATTTTTAAAGAGGGTTTTAAACATTTTTGCCACGTAGTAATCTACTTTCTTGTCTATATAATAAATCACTGATTCAACGATAGTTAAAAAAATTTTTTATGGGGAAACACTCAGCAAACTACAAGTAGAAAGAGAAACAGTGTTTTCGAAATTAATGGTTCATCCATAAATCTTAATACTTAGATTTAGTTGGTAAAAAATTGAATTTTCAACGATGATTTTAAAAAAATTTCTCATTTCTCATTTCTCAAAATTCTTCTATGTTCAAAAAAAAGAAAAAAAAACTACACGTGGAAAGATTCCTAAGAACAATGGAAATATGATGGAGAGTAAAAATAAGGTTTAGAAATTATCTTGTTGGTCCCTCAATTTTTGTTTTTTTGTCAAAATATTCCCTCAATTTGTTTAGTTCCTTTTTAGCGTACCGACTCTCAAATTTGGTATAAAAACGTCTCCCTCAATTGATGATTCTAATTCCCCTTTTACAACATCTATGCATTCCTCTCTACCATTAAATTTATTCCACTTGTAGACGACTGTTTTGGTATATCTTGATCTTCATAGGTAATAACACAATTTTAGAATATAGTTATAGTCACTCATTATTTTATTATAACTTCTCAATTTTATCTAATTTGATTATTAAAAATAATTAATAATTGATAAAAATAACTTAAATTTATTATATTACATCATAACCAACCGTTGAAAAAACTATAAATAGATAAAATATGAAAAAATGTGAAAATAAGACTCACTTTTGTAGTTTTTTATTTAAGAATGTTAATTTCATCAATTTCTAAATAAAAATGTTAATTTTTAACTTTTTAATTTAAAAATATTAATTTTTAATTTTTGGTTAAACCCCCTTTTTGGTCCCTCAACTATTGTATGGACCTTCAATTGAGTCCATCAACTATTGTCTAGACCTTCGATTGAGTCTCTTTACTCAAAAAATCCTTAATTTGGTTCTTACTATTTATCACTTTGGTCCCAACTTGGTCCCTTTGTTAAAAATTTGCTTACGTGTCCAATTAACTAATAAAAGCATGATGATATGTCAAAATATTAAGTTCATGTAGAAAGATAGTACGACAAAAATTAATAATATGGCAATAAAAACTTAAAAAATTCTCTTTTTTCCTCCTCTGTCTCTTTGTCCTTCCTTTTCCTTGCCTTGCCTTCTTCATTATCATAAAACAACAAAACTCATAAAAAAAATAGAAATTTACCCAAGCATGCTGGGTTCCATCTAACCTAGGCGTGTTGGGTTTCTTAGGTTCAAAGGAACCCAACACTTTGGTTCAATCAAACTTAACAGGCGCCATTTCTCCTTCCTTTTCCTTACCTTACCTTTTTCATCAATCAATTCTTCATTATCATCAAACAACAAAACCAACAAAAAAACAAAATTTTTTTATTTTATTTTTTGTCGTTCCATCAAACCCAAGACCTCAAGGGGAAAGAGAAGGAAAAAAAAAAAAAAGAATTTTTTAAGTTTTTTTTTCATATTAATATTTTTTGTCATATAATTTTTTTTTTCATGTCATTATTTTTTTGCCATGTTGTCTTTCCACAAGTATTTATTTTTGACATGTCATCATGTTGCCGTAAATTAAGAGAACACATTATGAGTTTTTTAACAGAAGAACCAAGTTAGGGCCAAAATGATAAGCAATATAGATTAAATCAAGGATTTTTTGAGTTGAAAAACTCAATCGAGGATCCATATAATAGTTGATCGACCAAAAAGGAAGTATAAGCCTTTAATTTTTTTTATTTAAAAATACTAACTTTTAATTTTTTTATAAATAAAAAAAGGTTAAAAATTGATAATTTTATTTGAAAATTAACAAAATTAATATTATGAAATAAAAATACAAAATTAATATTTTTATTTATATCTTTACTTAATAAAATATCAATTAAATTAAATAAGTTGAGTGG